TTTTTTTTTTTTTTTTTTTTTTTTTAGGTAAAAACATTTATCATAAGCCACTAGTGCTTTCGGCTTTTCCAACACACACTGTTAACTGGAAGACCATAGATGCACACCATTATCTTTTAATATGAAAAACAGGTAGTTCTACCTCAAAACTGACTTCTAGCCATAATCAAGGGAACTATCCACAGGGGGGCACTGTTGCCTTCCACATAGGTGAAGTGTTATGGTGATGAGTTTTGGGTTGTTTTTTTTTTTTGTTTTTTGTTTTTTTGTTTTTTTTTTAAATTGCTGACATTTAATGACTGTTTCACTACTCTTTCAAAGTGAATCCAAAGGAGATTAATCTTCCCCTTGCAAACCCAGCCAGTTCAGAAAATAAAAAAAATGCTAGCAGCAAGGATTGCTCAGCTTTTTTTGCACAGGCTTCAGTTTGCTGGTCTGCGGAGTAATACTGTGACACCTTGTTTTAAGGGCACTGCAGATTCCAGGCACATGGGGCAAATGAAAATTGGCAGCAATTAAAACATTAAGCTGTTGGCTGCCAGATGTGGGAGAAGGGTTTATTTCCCTTTCTCCCAGTCTCCCCTGACTTAAACAGCCTGCCAGGAAGATCAATTTAGAGGCAAATTTGCTAATATTTCTTACAGCTCCTGCCAATTAGATCAGCACATCTTCTCAGTGCTGAGCTAGCCCCACATGCCCATCCAGTTATCATCCTCTCCCTTCCATACTTAAGATTCTTAATACTGGGAGTTTAAACTGCTATTTCCCAGTTCTAATAGCCAAATTGTTCTCCTCACCACCCCAAAAAAAGGTGCCAGCAAGTGTTTCTGTGGACTTTTGGTATTGGGTAAGATGGCAGCTCTTACTGAGGGTGAAACAAAAGGCTGATCCCATTTCAGCATGGCTTTTTTCCCCTCAGAGTTTACAGGCAAACATTTTATACAGCAAACACCTTCTGTACAGATTACAGGATACTAAAACAGGCTTAAAGAAGTTTCATTTGCTCATAGTGTCCCCCACAACCCACAGATCAGACCCTCAGAAGTCTTGTCCTGGCCAGCAACCTGTACCTAAGGAAGGGAAATAAAAGCATCTTGTGGAAGTGCTTTTTTCGTATTGATCCTGGCTTAAGATAGAGGGTGAAAGGTTAGTCATTGAGCAGCTGTTTCTTTTTTGTTGCATGGAAGCTTTCAATGTGATCAGTGGTTCCCAGGCAGGAAACTGGCTCGACAAAAGGAGGCCAAGTCTGTCTGTGAAGAATGTCTTGCATTTGCAAGCTTGTCTAACTTTATCCCAATTACACAATTGGTCCAATAAAAAAAGAGACTACCCGAAGAAGTCCTCCCCTGTGAACATTCATATGCATGAAATGCTAACTAAAAGTTAAAGGTTAATCAGGTGTCAGGCTTCAGGATACAAAACACGTCAGCATAATGGTTAAGGGATCCCATCCCAGAGTGCAGTGAAGGCAGACCTTGGTGGCTTAAGTCTGTTACTGTGGATGAAAGCTGCAGACATTTTTTACAGTTGAACAAGGTTCTTTACATTTGCCTGTCCTTAGACCAACACAGCTACAACCAACAACCCTTTACAGTGAAAGGCTCACAACCTTGTCCATTAGGACGAGGCACCCATTCCAGTTGGAGTACGAATGGGTGTTCGTTGCTACAATTCCCCTCTGCAGGTATTGGAGTCCCATCCCAAGATGCAGTGGACAGAAAACAAGAACACTATTACAACACCTTAAGTCATGCAGTATGTGCAGCATTAAAATAACCTCCATTATCCAGAACACCAGTCCATGCTGGCAGGTGTAGTGGATGTGGTTACCTTCTGGTGTTAAAACAGTGCTTCTTAACTCCACACAGGCAACTGCAGCATGTTTGAGAGGAGAGGTTCCCACTAATCACAGCAGCTTCCATCCAGTGAGATTCCCCCCTCCCCTCCAGGGACCCCACTGAAACAAAACCCAGAAGCCAAGGTATACAATACTCAATGACCTTGGAGCATGCTGTCCACTTGGATCAAGTGCTTGAGAGAAATGCCAGCTCACTGCCACTAGCCAGATTGAGAGACAAGAGGAGAAGATGGCATACAAGATATCAGGAGAGAGAAGGTCTCAAGCCTTTCACCACAACAGGAACAAGGAGCGACCGAGTCAAAGTGAACTCCAAACAGGAAGGCAGAGGACTCGCTGCACAACCATGAATACGGAGGGCGCAGATAACCAAGCCGTCTTTTACCTAGAATCAAGAAGTGCCAGGACCCCTTCAGCCGATACCCAAGGAAAAGGGCCTTCAGAGTGTGTGTATGCACAGGTTATAACGCATCTCTTCCCCTACCCCTAGAAAGACTTTCTAGGAAACAAAACATGAAGCCACGCCTTACTGGGATTCTTGTATGCTTTTAATTTTACCTCACAAGAACACTACAGTTTGTTTGCAGGTACCTGGGGCTGCACTGCCAAGTTACAAGGCTCCACACATTGAGATGGGGGTGAAAGTGTTTTAAGCCCACAGCCACGAGGTCAGAGTGGGGCCTTTATACATTGTTCCAAGATGGTTTTTAATACAGAAACTCCCCCACAAGGACTGTTCTACAAAAGCAGAAGTGCTTAAGAGCAACAGGTCAGAGCTGGGGGGAAAAAAAAAAAAAAACATACTAGGCGAAGTCATCTAGGGTGTCTTGGGTGAGAGGACCTGCAAACAGGTCTTGTTCCTTCAGCTGCCCTTCCTTCTAGTACAGGGAGTTGCGAGCTAATTGGGTGACTAGTGCTTTTATCCGGAACAGCAGCTGCCTGACAAGCTCAGCTTAGTTGATGCGGGGGTTCCTGAAGTTCCTGCCAGCAAAACGCGCCTTGCTGCCAAGCTCCTCTTCAATTCTGTTTGGGATAGAAACAGGTTTGAGTGCAAGCAGAGAACATGGCATGCCTACCTGTAGAACTGGTGTGAAGCCTACCCCGCAAGCAGCAGTGCTGCATTAGGGAGACTAACGTCCTCAGCTGTGCAGGTGGTGTCCAAATTCCTCCCATGACATTGCTGCTGCAAACCTCACATTCAGCCTAGCATGTGCTACCACTACTACGCAGTTTCAGAACAAGCCCACATCTCAGTGCTTAACTGCTTACCTGTAGACATCTGTATCAATGGTAGGTAGCATCCTCTTACATGCCCCTAAAGTTTAAGTAAGGTGTTCTCAGCCTGTGTTAGCACATCTCTTATTCTGCCATTGTAATGGCTTGCTTCCCTGAACTATGTGAGATGCAGCAGAGATGTAGAACAGCCAGAGGCCCAGCTGTCACATGAACATTATGTCTGGTTCCTAAAACAAGGCCACCACCTAGATTTTTATTTGCCCCCAGCCACCCTGGTCCAGTATGCCCCTTCCCATCCTCACCTCAGGATCTGGTTGTACTTAGCCAGACGCTCAGATCTACAAGGGGCACCAGTCTTGATCTGAAAGACAAACATTGGGAAGTTAGTTCCTACTGGGCTAAATAAGAGCCTGCCAGGAAAAAAAGTCAGGACTGAATTCCTGTCTTACGCTAGAAATGAGGGGAATCTTATTCCTGTAGACACCATGCTAAGCTGCCCCTGCTTTCTGCCATATAAACTAGTAGTAAGACTAATGATAAGCCTTAAAGAATTAGTGAATCAGCAGCTGATATGGAGTAGTCACAGATTTATTAGTGATGCCACCAGGAAATCTCTTAGCTTATGAAGAGAGAGGAATTCTGGTATATTTTTTTAGAGCTTCTAGTTAGACCTCCATACACAAGCTTAATGTGGGGGAGGTGGGAGTGGAAGAGTCTGTGTATCAGATGCTACTAACATAGCCCATTTACTTACTATCACAGGGAAAAATCATTTCAGGTCTAGGTACTGACCTGTCCAGTGCAGAGACCAACCACCAGGTCAGCAATAAAGGTATCTTCAGTCTCTCCAGAACGGTGACTCACCATCACACCCCAGCCATTGGACTGGGCAAGCTTGCAGCTAAAGAGAGCAAGATAAGAATAAGAGCCTGTGCTACAGAACCATTGCTGGACAGTCTACATTTGTCCAGAGGCTATGAGTGCCAAACAAAGTTTCTCCCATGCAGCTGGTACATTTTGCCCCAAGTGTTACAATGGGCTGCTAATTACCAATAGTTATTCTTATTCTGAGAAGAGACTGTCTAGCCCATTATCACTTAATGACTTGTGGAATGGGGACAGGCTGTAAAGAGCATTTCATGCAATATACTTTAGTTCTGCGTTTATCAGGATCCAGGGAAAAGTCATCTGTTAGTCTGCAACTTGTGTTGCATTTAAAAAAAAAAAAAAAAAAAGTGTAAGCACCAGAAAGGATAAGTTGGTTTAAATTTCCACTCATCAACAATACAGCTTCAGCTACTGGTTGGATAGATTCTACTCAATTAAGCAGCAGCTGCAGTGTGCCGACAAGAGGAAATCTGTGCAGGTTTGTCCTTTTCAGGGCTTTTATTAGCCAAGAACCCCTGTAGGCCTTAGTGGCTAACCCTCCTCTGTGTGAAGAACAGGGGCAGAAATGCAAGGGTGACTTACGCTTGCAGGGACTCAGTCACACTGCCAATCTGGTTGACTTTGAGCAACAGGCAGTTGCAGGCCTTCTCTTCCACCGCCTTAGCAATGCGCTTAGGGTTGGTTACAGTCAGGTCATCACCGACAACCTGGATGCCCACAGAGGCAGTGAACTTCTTCCAAGCTGCCCAGTCATCCTGGTCAAAGGGATCTTCAATGGACACCACTGAGAGGAGAAAGAAAGTCTGCCTCTTAGTTAGAATAAGTGAATCCGCAGGCACTTGGAATACCACTGAACAAGGCCTGGTGATTATGAAAGCAGAGAAGCTTAGAGGCAAAGCTCTGAGTTATGCCCCATGGTTCTGCCAATGTGCCTCTTCCCCACCCCTCCTAATTCTCTGAACACGAGTCTGCATTTCAAGCTATCTAACAGGATCCACAAGGGACCCAACTAATGGCTTTATACCCAACCCCAGGCAGAAGATGACAGGCAATTCTCTTGAGCTATTTAAACTCCACTTCCAATACTGGTATAGTTCTATCCTTGGCCTTCTTACTACAGCGCACATAGGCCTAATGGTTTTCCCTTGGCAACTCCTTTATCAGATCACCATTCACTAACCAGGTAGCAAGTACCACTCACCAGGGTAGTTCTTGACAAAGCTCTTGTACAGGTCAGCCAGCTGGTCATGGGTGATGTATCTGCTGGGGTCATCAGGAGACTTGAAGTCCAAGTCATACTTTCCATCACGGTAAAACTCAGAGGCAGCCACATCCATGCCAATGACAATCTTGTCACTGTAGCCAGCCTTGTTGATGGCATTCTTAAGTAGCTCCAGAGCTGAAAAGTTTGAGCCTGGGTTAGTGTGTTCCTCCAAAACTTTAATGCTCATTTCAGTATTGTGCATGCATCTAAACCTTAAGAGGACTCATGCTCCACTTACAGAAAACCGCACGGCGGCCTTCAACACTACTGAGCATGGACGTGAATGTGAAAACCCACTTCCACTTGAAGGATCCACCTCCAGATCCAGGCGGTTTACAGTAGGTGGTGGCAAGCACCCAGACCCTGCAAAGTATGCCATTTACAGCAGTCTGGAGTGGTAAATTTAGCTTGCTCTGTGGTGGGGCAAAACAGGATTCTATTTCCCTCCTTCCTCTCACAACCCAAGGGCTGCAGTTGTGCTCTTCCCTGGCCCCCCCCCCCCGCTGTCCG